ATGGAGACCGCTGTCCCAGGCGACGTCACGGTCGACTTGTTTCTTTGAGTTTCTAGAACTCGTCTTGTGGTACACAATATAGAAGTATGGGGAAATGTATTCCCTCGTTAATAGAGGCGTTTTCGATTAATAGACGCGGGGTTATCATCAGTTTCTGCGAAGCAACGCGTCAAACGGGTGCCTTTGGGATGTGATGTGGAAACGTAGGGATATGCGATTGGAGTAGCGACATGGAAGAATGGGAAATGCAGGGATGTGCAAGGGTAAGAATATGGAAATGTGAAGAGTGATCGAGGAGAGATTTAAGAGTATTTAGTGAACTAGAATTTTGTGAGTACTAAGATCTGAGAGAAAATATGCGAATTTTGGTATTTAGAAATTTTTGAATAAAATAAGATCATGGCATTATGATGTAGAAGAATGGTAAGATGCTTTATGAAGGGTAGAATGCTATGTGGTGATGTGGTGATATGGAAGCGTAGGATATTAGAACATAGAAACATCGAAGGGTTTCAATATTGAAGAATGACTAAGGAAACGTTTGAATGTGGGAGCGTAGGAACATGAGAATATAGAGACACAACGTTGCAACACAGAGTGATAATATGAAAGCGTAGGGATATAGAAGCGTAGGATATCGAAATATAATATAGAAACGTAGAGATGTGCAAGCATAGATATATCCTAGCGTAGTAATACCGAAGGGTTGCAATATGAACGAGTAGTGATATAGAAGCGTAGAGAGGTGCAAGAGTAGATATATCTTAGCGTAGTAATACCGAAGGGTTGCAATATGAACGAGTGGCGATATAGAAGCGTAGAGATGTGAGAGAGTAGATATATCTTAGCGTAGTAATACCGAAGGGTTGCAATATGAAAAAGTGGCGATATAGAAGCGTAGAGAGGTGCAAGCGTAGATATATCTTAGCGTAGTAATACCGAAGGGTTGCAATATGAAAGAGTGGGGATACGTAAGCGTAGAGATATGCAAGCGTAGATATATCCTAGCGTAGTAATATCGAAGGTTTGCAATATGAAAGAGTAGCCATATAGAAGCGTAGAGACGTGCAAGCATGGATATCTCCTAGCTTAGTAATACCGAAGGGTTGCAATATGAAAGAGTGGCGATATAGAAGCGTAGAGAGGTGCAAGCGTAGATATACCTTAGCGTAGAAATACCAAAGGGTTGCAATATGAATGAGTGGCGATATAGAAGCATAGAGATATGAGAGCGTGGATATATCCTAGCGTAGTAACACCGAAGGGTTGCAATATGAAAGAGTGACGATATAGAAGCATAGAGATGTGAGAGCGTGGATATATCCTAGCGTAGTAATACCGAAGGGTTGCAATATGAAAGAGTGGCGATATAGAAGCGTAGAGAAGTGCAAGCGTAGATATACCTTAGCGTAGAAATACCAAAGGGTTGCAATATGAACGAGTGGCGATATAGAGGCATAGAGATATGAGAGCGTGGATATATCTTAGCGTAGTAATACCGAAGGGTTGCAATATGAAAGAGTGACGATATAGAAGTGTAGGGATGTGAGAGCGTAAATATATCCTAGCGCAGTAATACCGAAGGGTTGCAATACGAAACAGTGGCGATATAAAATCGCAGAGATGTGCAAGCGCAGATATCCTAGCGTAGTAATATCACAGCATTGCAATACAAAATAGCAGCGATAGGAAAGCTCTAGATAAGAGTGTGACGATACAGCAGCATAGAGACATGAACGTATACTATAAAAGTATAGCAAACCTCGCAATATGAAATGACAGCGATACGCAAGCGATACGAAACACCGTGTAAACGTAGAAATATGGGAACGAGAGTACAAAGATAAAAGCAGAAATCTTTCAGATTTCTCAAATACACATCCATTGCTCGCTGTATTTAATTAAGAAAAAGTTTGAAGATGACAATTCGATAGTCGAGGAGATACCTATACCTCAGATTATTTTGAATAAGGAACGAGACGGGACGAGGGCAATCCATTTTCCTCGACGCGGTCCCCCGGGATACTCTATGGAATTAGAGTACCCGACTCCTCTGCGATCTCTGTCTCTCGTCCTCTTCTCTGTGTCTCTTTCTTCCGTGGATACGCTTGTGCGACGTTTATACATGTACCAGCCTGTACACCTTGTGTCAAGCCACCGGGAATGTAATATCTTAAAACGCCACCGTCCAACCGACGAGGAAAAGCACCCGATATCGTGACGGATTACGCGGAGAATTGCGACTGGCGTTTCACGAATAGAAAGGCGCGTTCTCTATCTTCCGAACGATGCATGCTGGTAAAGTTCATCCTGGTTCATCTGCGAGATGCGTTTACGCGTCTTTGAACCGATCACGTATACTGCTCAATGCAGTATATTTGTATATTTATTTTCAAATTCATAGTTTGAGAATTTTTGAACATTCTTTTCCGAAGTTAAACATTGTCAAATTTTTTATTAGACTGCCAGATAGATTCAGATCTATTCCCAGAGTCTTTAATCCAAACATTCCCAAAGGTTCAAGCTTCAATTCATTCCATTGCTGAACGTATTAATCTCATGAGCGGAATAGGATGAGAGTATTTGTGAATCAGTGAATTACTTATCAGAGCTCTTTTTCTCGAATGAAAGCTTCTAATAATTAAAATAATGAAAAATTCTATTCAGTTCGAAAATAGCATTCACTTCAGATGAAGTGACATCTCATGTTACGTTCAATCTGCTTTAAAAATGTTCTTCATTCGAGATTTTTATAACACGAAAAAATAGAAATGCTATTCTTTAAATTTTATTTCAAATTTTTAATGCTTTAGTTTGTGCCAAATCTGACTTATTACTGTTGTATACATGGACATTTATTTAGTTCTGAATGTATCAAAGATATTGATGGTAATTACGTACAGCGCATGCAATTATAAAAGGGGTTGAAATTCAGAAATTGGATTCCAATATCGAAAGATGTTAGAACCAAATCAGATTTGCTGAGGCGATGGCGCCTTGGAAAATTTGCCAATCACACGGCTCGTTAGTGAAAGACTCCCTTGGTCGCCTGTTTATGCTGTTAATTCGAGGCACGAGGTAAACGTCTTACGTCAAGGGTTGTAATATTCGAGCATATAAGGTTATCGAGATTAATAGTTCTAGTTAAAACATCCCCTTACTATATGACTTTCCCTCTAACCAATAAAAATACCAAAACAATCTTTCATGTGAGAAAAAATGGGTTATCATCCTCGATAACTTCCCTTCACCTGTACTTGTAAAAGTTTCGTTTCTGCAGAGTCCCGAAATTAAGTAAAATGGTAAATATGCAGAAATATAATTTCCACAGTGAAATACTGATTAATTTAAATCAGTTTAAGTTCGGTAGCAATTTATGAAAAGATTGAGAGCCACTGGTATAAAGGATTGCGTTGCACGAAGGGCGACAATAAAAGTGGAAATAAACTTTTTAATACGTTTCACTTGGCCCTGGTTGCCTCGTGACGTGGCCTCGGAGATTCTGAAGCGGTATACCAGGCTAAAAGAATGCCTCCCGAGAAACTTGAAATTTTTAATTAAACTCATAACCGACCGCGGCTTTTTTTGTCCGCCTCTTTTTCCCCCGCGTTTACCTTCTCGACCCGGTCTGGCCATTGTGGCGCGGATCGTTAAGCGACAACAACCGTTGTGTAATAAATTCGTTAAACAAAAACGAATCAGCGAATGAAATCGATAGGAATTTCAACGTTGTTCGAAAACAACGGAGTACGTAAATCTTTATTCCTCGCATTTGCGGTTACATTTGAACGGATATTTTAATTAAAATGTAGTGGAACGTGAAAAATTACAAGGAGACAATTTTTAAAGGTTGGACATTTGGAAGTTTAAGAATTTAGAATGATAGGAGTTGACAATTTTTTAAACTGCAAAATATGGTTAAGAGGTACGTAATATATTTTTATAATGTTCAGATCGATTTAAAATTGCACTGTCCAATAAATTTAAATAGAATCGCTAATAGAGACTTCAATATTAAATGTCGAAAAAGAATATCGATTATTCCGTCACCTTCCGATCCTCCAAATCTGCTATTTTAATTAAAATCTTCATAACGAAACGTGAGAAATTAGGTAGAAATCCAGCTTAAAATCCAGAGTTTATGAGTCTTCTCGACCGATTTCGCAGCGGAAGCAGCTTGCGAGGGGCGTCGTTTCGCACGATATTTAGCAAATTAGCCGAAATACGACAAAAGATGGACGCCGAGGAGAAAATTTATACGGACTTAACCCGATTCGCCGTAAAATCGCGACGTGCCCTTTTAATTAGAAACGAACAGGGCAAGAAACAAAGTGGTCTCCGTGAATGTCCGGGATTTATGCTAAAGACTGACGTCGTCTCTTTTTCTACGAATTCTGAAAGTACCCTTTCTCGAAACTCTGGACAGGCTCTTGCCGGAAAACGGCACAAAAACTCTACTCTGTCGTTATTGTGCTATACACGCGGCTTATTAGATTTATTGCCTTTGTTCTCGATCTTTTAGAGCCACCGGTTCTCCGCTTCACAATAACAGCCCCCTTTCTTTGAGGAAGCATCAACTGCTTATTTGATTCTCGGATATTCGGTTAAAGATCTGTTTGAATTATTTGAAAACATTTAGAAAGACGGGAAAATTATGGAGATTGGAATGTATGGCCATCGACGGGTTTAAAAATGGGGTTGGAATTTTAGTTTGGACTTTTGGAAATTTAAGGTGATTAAAATTTCAAGAATTTGGGAACTTTAGACGTTTCTGAGGATTTAAAAATACGGTAGACTGACACTTTGGGAAATTTGATATTTCTGAATTGAAGATTCGAGAGTTTGGGAAATCTGGGCTGTGAGAATTTGAAGTCTTGAGAATTCGGGGGAATTTTTACTTTTGAGGTATTTGTATATTTGAGAATTTAGCAAGTTATTTTACCACTATTATATAAATGTCCGCTCGAAGGTTATCATCCCTTATCCCTTTGTCTTTGCAGAGGCTTACGTGAACCTGGGTGCGACTCTGGCGTCGGTGGGTCGTGAAACGGAAGCGGCTGCGGTTTTGCGGGCCGGAGCATCCTTGGACGGGTCCGGTCTCAAGGACAAAAGGGCTCACGAGGCGGCCAGAGTGCAGGCCCTCCTTCAATTAGGCGTCCTCTACGCCGATCAGGGTAGATTACAAAGGGCCCTCTCCGCTTACAGGGAAGCACTCCACGCTTTGCCGGATCACTATCCGCCTCAGGTCAGTTCAAGCTTCCTGCTTGTTACTCCATTAACGCGAAACAGCTGTCGGAACAACCGGCAGATGTGCCACTTTGGACAACATCCGTCAGCTTACCCTTTGACCATCCCTCTTCGGCTAATCGATCCGATCAATCCATTTACTGTTACATTATTGATCTCTTCTCTAGGAAACATACTTAACAAAAATTATACAACTATCATTTTAAACTGTCACTCGGAGTCACATTATGATGATCTTGAAAGACAAATTTCGGATAACATACGTGTTTTGAGAACCAGGAATACATGCAGTACATAAACATTGTATACATACATTTATACATGATTAGTAAACATAATCTAGTTTTAGTATTAATATACAATATTATTATAATAATGTTTTATTTTCAAAGTAATCCTAATAACTAGTAAAGAGGACACTGCAGATACTGAACGAATTTCTAAATTTTTTAAAACAATTTATTAATGTTTTATTTTCAAAGTGATCCTAATAAGTAGCAAAGAGGAGGACACTGAAGATACTGAACGAATTTCTAAATATTTTAAAACAATTTATTAATGTTTTATTTACAAAGTAATCCTAATAACTAGTAAAGAGGACATTGAAAATACTGAACGAATTTCTACATATTTTAAAACAATTTATTAATGTTTTATTTACAAAGTAATCTTAATAACTAGTAAAGAGGAGGACACTGAAGATACTGAACGAATGTTTAAATATTTTAAAACAATTTATTATTATTTTATTTTCAAAGTAATCCTAATAACTAGTAAAGAGGAGGACACTGAAAATACTGAACGAATGTCTAAATATTTTAAAACAATTTATTAAGCTTGTATAACATAAAATTTCGTTGGTAGAAAATTATAGGAGGATCGCGACGAATTGGACAATTATCCCGACGCGCGATTCAACAAGAAGATAAAATGATAATTCGTTTATGCCTTCGATAGCACCATTATCACTGGCTTCTTCATTAAATCGGATTAACTGGTCGTGTGTTTATCCCGTATGAATTGCAATTTTCGCAATTGCTCGAAGTTGGAAAACACGCGACCGGGAGCTAATTAAATTCGTCGAGTATCGATCCGCGGAACGATGTCGTTTTACCGACGATTCAAGACGGATTTCAGTCCGTTTTTAGTATCGCAATTAATGTTTTATCGTCCCGTGAAACGTGGCCGGTCGATCGTAATCGAGAGAAAAAGTAGCGTCCAACGGGACGAAATCGTCGATGCGGACGAGCGTTGTTTTCATCGCCGCGAGCTACGGTACGCGTATGCACACCGCAAATATGATTTTCAGTCGCGTCGTAAACTAAAATTAAAAATTTTAAGCTCACCGTAATCTCCCGTATACTCGTCCCTCCACGTAGCTGCCGTTCTGCCAAGCTTTTTTATTTCGACATCGTCCAGGGAAAAGCGTCGACGCGTTTAACCGATTCAATTTTCATTTAATCTTCTGCAAATTTTCGCGCGAAATCCTCGTCAGAAGCTTCTCGATTTTCATTATTTAAAAGAAATCTATCTTTCGCGATTATGAGCTTCGGGGATTTGAAAATTTTGTTATTTTAGCACTTTGCAGATTTTAGTGCATTGAAATAGTTCATTGATGTATGTTTTAACATATTACAATGTTCATGTATCATCAAGAGTGCACGAGTACATTAACTATTCGCCATCTTGTGACGTACGTAACCTATATTCGGGATCGTGCTCAAATAGACCAGCATATTAAAATAGGCTTAATATATATTTTCATTAGTAGTGCATGATCATGTACATTAACTATTTGGCACCTTGTGAGGTACAATGAATTATCTTCATAGACATGTTCAAATAGAACAGCATATCAAAATAGGCTTTATACATATTTTTATTAGGAGTGCATGATCATGTACATCAGCCATCCGCCATCTTGTGACGTACATAACCTATCTCCATAATTATGTTCAACTGGACCAGCATATTAAAATAGGCTTAATATATATTTTCATTAGTAGTGCATGATCATGTACATAAACTATGTGGCACCTTGTGAGGAACAATGAATTATCTTCATAGATATGTTCAAATAGAACAGCATATTAAAATAGGCTTAATATATATTTTCATTAGTAGTGCATGATCATGTACATTAACTATTTGGCACCTTGTGAGGTACAATGAATTATCTTCATAGACATGTTCAAATAGAACAGCATATCAAAATAGGCTTTATACATATTTTTATTAGGAGTGCATGATCATGTACATTGGCCATCCGCCATCTTGTGACGTACATAACCTATCTTTATAATTGTTTTCAAATGAACCAGCATATTAAAATAAGCTTAATATATATTTTCATTAGGAGTGCATGATCATGTACATCAACTATTTGGCGCCTTGTGAGGAACAATGAATTATCTTCATAGATATGTTCAAATAGAACAGCATATTAAAATAAGCTTAATATATATTTTCATTAGGAGTGCATGATCATGTACATCAACTATTTGGCGCCTTGTGAGGAACAATGAATTATCTTCATAGATATGTTCAAATAGAACAGCATATTAAAATAGGCTTAATATATATTTTTATTAGGAGTGCATGATCATGTACATTGGCCATCCGCCATCTTGTGACGTACATAACCTATCTTCATAATTGTGTTCAAATGGACCAACATATTAAAATAAGCTTAATATATATTTTCATTAGGAGTGCATGATCATGTACATAAACTATTTGCCACCTTGTGAGGCACAATGAATTATCTTCATAATTATGTTCAAATGGTCCAGCACATTGAAATAAGCTTCCTGAATATTTTCGTCAAAAGTACACCATGTACATCAGCCATCTTGCGACGTACACAATTGTGTTCTAACGATCGAAATTTCGACCTGGAGCCAATTGAGTCGACTCATCTAGATCGATCTATAACGCTCGTCAAAACTCTTAATTGGTTCCGAAGGCCCGCCGCGGGCAATTTCTGTTCGATCATTGTCTCGCGACGTTGTTTCCTATTCTGTCGCGAAATCCCTTGGAAAGCGCGTCTGACCAACGAAGCTTCCATCTACTCGTCGAACTTTAGCTCCTCTGCTATCCCGAAATCACTCGCTCGAATTACCCTCTCTGCTCCTCTCTGAAATTCTCACCGCATGCTCGACCGCATACGTAGCGAAATTCTTGCGAATTTACCGGTTCCACGGTCTCGTCTGGGCTCTTCCTTCCGCTCCTGCAGTCGCCAACTACCACGACCAGTTTATATTTTCTATGCTTATTCTCTTTTTTTTGCCCGACCACGTCCAACTTTTTGGATACCGGCCGAGGCTAGACGACGGCAACAACAGCTAGTACAACGAGCGTGTCTTCGCGCTCGACTTCGAACCGAGAAACGAGAAGTTTGCATTTTTACGAGTTTCTCTGTTTCTCTCCTTTAACGGCACAGACAACACCGGCCTGGCAAGCCGCGCTGCTTTCTACGTGCACCGACCGTAGCCGCGTTTTGTTCGGTGCATCCTCCTGGAACTCCTGCGCGACAATTTATACGAAAAGTATTTTTCGCCCTCGCATCGATGCCGATGGACACCCTTCTGCACATTTTCATATTTACCGATATCTGCAACTGACCCAACCTGCACATCATTGCATCTCTTCCAAATATTCTAAATTTTCTAATTTGTTAAATTATCAAATTTGTAAATTTTCCCTTACTAGCTTAATGTCGCGAAAGTTGAAGATGACACCGTGCTACGCCGAGGGGTTAATATATCTTAAAACGTTAGCCTTGCGAGGCTGACTTGCAACATGCCTGGAACACTTTGTACGCGAAAGGGGAAAGTTTCCCCTTTCTAGGGAAACATATTAAACAGACAGCGAAGTGTATCGGTCGTTTGCAACGCTCCTACTTCCTTCGTGCGAAAGAATCATCAATATAAGCTGAAGATACCCGTCAATATTATCAGTACACCCTTATCTTTCCAAGATAAGGTTCCATCAATCATCTCGTCGATTAATCTTGACTAAATATCGATCTTTGTCAACGTTGATTCAAGAGAGGCAAAAAGTAGAGGAATATTAAATGCGACGAAAATCGTTGTCGGTAACGAACACGAAAAAAGCTTCGACGGTTTTGTAACGGTCGTAAACAAATATCAAACAGGTTGTTTTAATCCCTTTATTTTCGTAATCGCTTTGTCGAAACATTAGTGGTGCCTTAAATATGGGTCAACGATCTGGCTGCGGATTTAACCGCGCTGTTATTAACAACAATATCAATAACCGTTCTCAAACAACCCCTCGTTCGGGTAAATTGAAAAGTGACGTTCGATCAAGTGCAGCAATTACAGAGCTCTCTGGGAAAAAAAGGGACTACGAGCCTCGACAAGGATTTTCAATGGCACAATCCGCGCGTTCCGCTCGCGTGTAATTTTCACGCTCGAGCTTCAGCCAATCGCCAGGCCGAATCATCGAAACGCGAAATAATTTGTCGGCGCGGCCACTGTAAAATACACCGGCGAAACGAAACAGATATCGACCGCGATTGCACCGCCACGCCGATGAATTCGAATGCAAATGCAGGAAATTTCTAGTTAAACGGTATTAATAATTTATTGCCTCGTGGCCATTTGGAATTTTAAGAAGCGGACACTCCCCCCGTCCCTTTTTATTATTCACCGCGCATTGCTTTTATCGTGTGCACGCTACATTACCCTGCTATCCACCCCCAACCTCCGCTCTGTTACTAGCCGATTACGCACACCTTGCTCACGCGAATCTGTTAAAAATATTTCGCTGGACAAAATTTAGTTACCTCTTCCGTAATCTCCACTGCAATTCACAGTTTCTTTAGACGTACATCCAAACCTTTTTGTTTCAATTTTTCTAATTTTAAGGACTCTCATCCCCTTGCTTTACGATTTCATTTCTAACTGTCTGTGCCATGAACAAGATCGTCTTGTTAATGTTTTAGTCTTACGACGTCTCTGCGACGTCATTGTAAGC